CTGATCCGCTGATCCGCTGATCCGCTGGTCCGCTGATCCGCTGATCCGCTGATCCGCTGAGCCGCTGATCCGCTGATCCGCTGGTCCGCTGAGCCGCTAATCCGCTGGTCCGCTGATCCGCTGCTCCGCTGCTCCGCTGCTCCGCTGATCCGCTGATCCGCTGATCCGCTGATCCGCTGATCCGCTGGTCCGCTGATCCGCTGATCCGCTGATCCGCTGATCCGCTGGTCCGCTGGTCCGCTGATCCGCTGATCCGCTGATCCGCTGGTCCGCTGAGCCGCTGATCCGCTGATCCGCTGGTCCGCTGAGCCGCTGATCTGCTGGTCCGCTGATCCGCTGCTCCGCTGATCCGCTGCTCCGCTGCTCCGCTGATCCGCTGATCCGCTGATCCGCGGATCCGCGGATCCGCGGGTCCGCTGATCCGCTGATAAACTCTGATCTTTGTATCTGATGCTTTGTTCTTTGTAAATGGTGCTGTGAAAGCTGCTGTGGAACTGGTCATCCCACATGATCAGCCCACATGTCCTGAAATGTGTCAGAGTTGTTGGAGGCAACTTCTTACACTGGTCTTGTGAAAGCTGTTGACCAGAGGCATGCCTGATTTAGACTGGTGACTGTCCCTGCACCATCCGTTTGTGCCAGTGGACGCAGTCAAAATGCATTTCAAATATCTCGAGAGGCATGAAGACTTGGTAAATAGCAGCAAACTAGCCAGACACACCATATAGTCAGTGCCCTGCAAATCTAGCTTTTAGCCCCTATTATATAAAAAGTTCCTAATTGCTTGGCAACGGACCAGTTGAGGTACAAACTTAGACAGACAGTGCCAACTCATGGCAACCAGGGTCCACAAACACAGTGGGAGACAAACAGGGTGAAACATTTCGAGGTGGTGGGAACCTTGCTTGGAGGAAAGTTTGCCCACAAAAATCTTTGAAGCACAGGGAGGCTAACTTGGGGTCGTTTTCCAAAAGTAAGAAGACAAGATATGTGTTTAAACAGCGAAAAATTGAGGTATATGACAGGCCTGTTTCCTGCATATCAACATGTTAAGGCAAAGGCTTCAAAACAAAACTTTTTGACATTCCCGTCAAGCGTTGTTTTTGACATGTATCAGCAACACCACTGTGTTTTTCAAGGCCTGTGCCGTATTCACAACACAGTTGCACATGCACATCACTGCTGCTTGAAACAGCGTTGCATTTTTTACTGTCACGCCGCGTCGTTTGTGTTGCACAGCATCAGCCCAGCGAACTTTGAGCTGCTTCCACATCCGACCAACTCAAACCATCAAGAAAACGAAACAAACGCAACCCCTCGGACGCGTCTAGCTCAAGAACACAGTAGTGGGCCAAATCAGCAGCCATCTGTACACCAAACTTCGGAGCGATTCGTTCAGTAAGGGTAAGAATCAGGTGGGTCAGGTCCCGGCCAAGGTTTGTGTCTGAACCAACACCCTCTGGCAAGTGGATGGCCACGACGATTTCAGTCTCAATGCGCCCGTTTTGCATTGAACGGTCAGAAGCCTCCATGGCATTTATATGGTCCTTGATCAAAATGGTCTGCCAAAACCATAACCAAATTGTCCCGGAAACTACCACTCTCTTACAATCTCACTTTCCAAATTCAAACACTCTCCCTCATATACATGTGAATAGCAAATACATATTGGATTGCCATGTTGAATACTTTTGGTGATTTTGTGGAGTCAGTGCAACGCAAAGGATCAACAGCACAGATCTCAGGACTGATCACCATATGTTCTCACAAAGGGGAACATTTGGGTCCTTTAAGCGCCTCCAACTAACACACGCGCACCGGTCAGCAAACCCAAGGTTTCCGCACTGGCAGTAACACTGGTCACAACAGATTAGCTTATACGTGGAGGCTGCTGCAAGACGGCAGCAAACTTGCAAATGGTGTGAACCTTTGCCAAGCTAATCCATTGCACAAATCTGTGGGAAGCCACAATGCAACGAAGGACACGCAACACAATGTGCTCAGTCAGAGTCATCACACGGTGAAAAACAGTTCAACCATTCGTTCGAATTGTGTGTGGTGCGCGCTGATTGGTTTGAACATGGTATCTTGAACAGCACTGACCGCTGAGCAAGCTTTGCACAGTCAGACACTCAGAGCTCTCACTGGCGCGTGGGCAACCTGGCTTGTGAGCACAAACACATGGGATTTACACCCCTTTCTGAGAACATGTGGTGATCAGTCCTTAGATCTGTGCTGTTGATCCTTTGCGTTGCACTGATTCCACAAAGTCACCAAAAGTATTCAACATGGCAATCCAATATGTATTTGCTACTCACATGTATATGAGAGAGTGTTTGCATTTGGACATGGAATTGTTGTCAAAATCTCGGTCATGCAGTGGTCAATGGACTGGTCAGAACTTGGGAATAAAGGGCACTCAATCCTGCCCTAACTTTGCAACTTCCAGGTTTGCAAGTGGAACAACATGTAGATGAAAAGGTCCTTGCTATATACTAGTAGTGTCCTTGCTCATAGTAGCGATGCCCTGGTTACTAGTAGCGATGCCAAGGGTTCAACTCGTACCCAGGAGCTGTTGAGTGCCCAACCTGCTTCAAGACCAGCGCTTGCCAAACTAGAAAGCTGAATTCCTGGCCTCAGACAGGATAGGGGTGAGTGGCAGCAAGAAAAAGCTTGCTGAGAAAGTTGACATTGAAAATGCTGCAAAGAACTGGCACAACAATTTTTGCTTCTGGCAAACCCCTTGCCAAATGCTGGGTGACGGCTCTAAGTCTACTCTAAGTCTAGACCAAATCCACTGAGTGCTTGGTGCCAACTCCCGTATAGCCACACAGGAAAAAACGGAGCTAGACTCAGATCTAGTTCCATTTGTTTAGACAACATTAAAAACAACAAATTGGTTTGCTTTGCTGACAGGTATGGCGTTTGCACCTGAGACATTCAAAAGCGACAGCCAAAACCAAGGGCTTCCCTGGTTTTCTGCCATGCTTGAGCTTAGAAAAGCGCAACACATCGTCCAGCCGCCAGCTCCAAGTCCTGCATCAGCACAACTTGAGGTCGAATTGGGGCAAGCCCTGATGCCGCCCACTTGACACTGAAGACCACTTTGGTGCAATGGCCTTAGACCACACAATGGGAACCCCAACATGAACCCCAACTCAGATTCAATCACCTAAAGATAGCCATTGGTTCTTATCACATATACAAAAAACAACTATGGCCAATCTTGGCAAGAAGCTGGTCCACGCTTCAACCGGCAGCAAGGACGCAAGGTTCACCTGGCTGGCTGTGTTATCGCCGCCGCCTGTGCCAGACTCATGCTCCACATTGACAACTTGCTGTGGCACAAAGCGCAAATCATGAGTCTTCCTCAACTCAAAGCTACCAGGCTTGCCATCCTCTGGCTTGTCAGTCATCTCGAAGTAGTTCACCTTGACACATGGCGAAGGTCCGGATTTCCTCCGACCTTCCACCAGCTCGAAAACCGTTTTCAAATTGCCGTTGTAGAGGACATCTGCATCGGGGCCAGTCAGGTCATATGGAATCTCCTTGTTGCTGCCTTCAGTGGCAGGCGCATTGCTCTGGTGGCGAACAAACTTCCCACGGCCAAATGCAGCCAGCACTGTGCCAGCTGAGAGGGTCTGGCTTGCATCCGAAGTGTTCACCAAGTATGGGCGGTTTCCGGTCTTGATGTGGATGACCACCTTGCTGCCCTTGTTCAACATCGGCGCTTCACACAGCTTGTCGGCCTGCATGTCCACGTCCTGAGATAAGAATCAGTACCCAAGCAACAACAAGGAGCAATCCCCTAACATGGATTTGACATCAATGCCTACACCAAACTAAACAAAATTTCCAGCAAAAACAATTGAATGAAAATCGAGATTCAGACGAGGGCTGAATCTTGGCACGATCCACCTTGGCCCTTTTCCCAGTCGAAGGGCCGCCACCCCTTTCGCCCTTCCGCTTGCGATCAGGCTGAGGTGCAGGTGTATTTGGCTGCGGCTGGTTCGAATCTGTGTTGTTAGCATTGGGATCTGCTGCAGCAGTTGTCCTGGCCTCTGGGGTTGGGCCAAACTCCTCGTGAAGAGCATCAAGGAATTTCTGCAGTTCACTGGACATTTCTGTCCCCATCCATTGGCGAATCAATGAAGTGGGGACCTCTGGGAAAAGGTCGTTCCGGGCTACCATCAAATTCAACTTTGGAGCAGACGGCTCTGCCTCCAAGAGATCGGGAGGACATTCTTGAGA